ACCAAGAAATACGTTTGTGATAAATTTTTGGAAAATGGGCGTGGCACCGCCCACTTATGATCACATATATGTATCTCAGTAACCGTTCTACCAATTTGTACCAAACTCGGTGTGGTTATTGTGCTTGCCACATATAAGCAAACCGTTGAAAATTATTGAAATCGGACTAAAATAACGGCCGCTTCTCATATAACGGTAAATTTCAGAACTGCTTGAAACTTCAAAATTTCGAAATCTAAGGACTCTAATTTACTCAAAATTGATACGCCCCGGCTTACCATATAGCCATAGCTTTCGGTAAGGCGAAAAACATATATTTAATACGTGCGCCGGGTATTTAATGTTCGGCTCTGCCCGAACTTAGGCTTTCTTACTTGTTTTGTAACACAAAGTACGTTGTGCATCAATTTGATACATATGGAAAGAGACCCTAGTATTCAATGAAATGTTGGGTTTTTTATTAATTATCAACGTTTGTTTATTAATTTTCTGATAATAAGAATACAAATACTTGAAAGATCTATACGCATTTGTGGCAAAAAACCAATTCAAAACATTAGCTATTTTTCTTGATATTTTAATAATTTTTCGAAATTTGCATCAATTTGATACAAACGATGGATGAAATCTTTATCTATTTCTATTTCTATATTTTTATCTTTATCTTTTTTTTTGCAGAAAACAGCACTCAGGCTACATGCTGCCCTTTGTACTGTTTTCACGTTACTTTTAATATTTTTTTAAATCTACTTGATTTACAAATAAATCAACGGAAGGTCAAATGCCGATCACAGTCAGGTGTTTGCGCCAGTCAGCGGTCCACCAAGTTGTCTGCAGTCCAATCTGTTCAATGAAAGCAAATACCTAGCACGTAAACTTCTGCATCTCCAGCTATTTTCCAACACGTAGTCCATGGCCTAGGCCCTAGGCGATTGCAAGTTCCTCGGCTTGGAATACAGAGGCATATTCGCCGAAATTTTAGTTCATTCCCATTACCTTCGATATGGACAATTTTGGAGCCATCAGTAATAATGAGACCAGACTCAGTGCTGGAATTAAGACAGCATTCAGCATTAGGGACGTCAACTTTGTAGAATCTCCTCTGCAAAGGTGGCGTTCTATTCTTGGGCATTAAAAATACCCTTTCGTCTTGATCTCTACCAGCAGCAAACTCCGCCTCGCCCCCACCTAGTATCATACTCACATCCATTTCTCTTAAGCCTGTAGGAGGCCTTTAAGACCTCCACAGGTATAAAGGTGCAAACTGATGGTAAGTTTAGCAGAGCATCAAGAACAGGTGTTTTAGAGAAAGCACCCGTCACAGCGACTGTGCTATTGGTTGTGAGCCTGCTCCACCATACCATACTGATGCATAACTGATAACGGGTGTGATCATCGAGGTGTAGATCCAGAGGATACCCCTTGGTGGCAGACCCCATGTTTTACCAAAGGCTTGTTTACATTGCCAAAAAGCCGACAATGCTTTAGAGGTCTTATGCTCAACGTGAGATTTCCATGAAAGTTTGGCATCCAGAATTACGCCTAAACATTTGACATCGGAAGGGATCTGAATGGTTTCTCTGGCAATAAAACCATCCAACCTCTGCTCATCGTTGAGACTTCATCTTAACGCCGTTTTAAAGCTAAAGCTAACTTAGTTATTAACAGTTGAACATTTTGAAGTTGATTTCCATAGTGAAGATCAGTAAGTTAGGGATTTAGAATGCTATCATCGTAATCCTTGTTTAATTCTCTATAAAAAAAAAACATGTTTAAAAAAGTGGGCGTTTTTCAAGAAATATTTTTAAAATATTTTTTATATATTTTTCTTTAGCTTTAAAACCACGTTAAGATGAAGTCACTACGATGAGCAGAGCCCGAGATATAACGCTTTAAAAAAGTACATGAATCACGAAAAATTTCAAACTTTGACAGATCATATCTCTGATGAAAAAAGAAAAGAAAAATTCCTCGAATACGTGTTAGTTTACTTCATGTATAGAACCCATAAAAAAATTTTAAGCCAATAGAAAGTGTGACACGAAATTTGGTGTCCGATATGAAAAAGAATGCCTCATAAGTCATATATTCTTTGTGTTGTTGAAGGGACTGCGAGAATTGTGTTGTCGAAGTGCAAGTACGAAATATTTAACCTTTTAAAATAAACAACTCTCAGTAAATCCCAGCTCAATTATGCATACTTTGCACTGCACTGCATAGCATCTCACTTTTACGTAGAAATCAAAAACCAACAGACTTTTACATACATACGTATGTAATGCTGTGCGTTGGGTAACCGCTTACATGCAAAATTCATTTAACAGATTCCTTATTTGACAACTCTCGTGCAATGCCAAGTAAATTCGCATTCGCATTCGCGAATGTGAAAAATATGACATTCTAAACATATGTACATACATACATGCATGCGTCAGTGCAGGTCAAGTTAAAGGCGATTGATAAGAGCCCTTCCACGAAATTATAAAAAATATTAGTAAACAATTTACTGTCTCAATGAAATATTAAAATTGAAAGGAGGAAAATTTCCAAAATACATACGTAGTATGTATTCTTATTGTTACTCTGTTGGTCGTTCCCAAAATGAGGTACTTTTTGCAAGAATTTTCCCTTTCAATATTTAATTATATTTTAGTTAAACCGGAAATAAATCATTATATTTATTTACAATATTTCAATAATCAACGCGGTTTTGCATTTTGTTGATACGCGGTTTTGTACTTTAAACGACGTTATTTATGTATGTATAAGATTAGTTTATAATCAAGCAGACTGTCTGCTGTAAATAGAAACATTCACAGTTTAATAGTGGTTCCGATGAATGTTTGGGGTTGGTTTAAGTGGATTGTTATTTTTGTTACACAACTCGTGCAACCTACAGCCACTTGGCAGTTTTAAGGAATTTCAGTACGTCATACAGAGAGAGGCAGCTGGACTCTAAAACATTCTGCAGGAATGGCTTGCCGAGTTTCTTAAGAGTCATCCTTGCGAGGGCTGGACACTCGCACAGGAAGTGTGTCGACTGCCTCTTTCGAGCCAACTGGAACAGAACCTGTTAAAGGGCAATCCAATCCTTTCGGCATGTACCCGAACGGGCCAGTACCCTGTGCACACAGCAGTAAGTGTGTAGGTATCTTCTTTGCTTATTCCGAGGAGAGGTGTGATTTTAAGTGGATCGTAGGACACCCAGAATTGCCGGGTAATTCTCTACGATCTTTTACGGTTCCACCTCTGCTTGGCCTTCAAGTGATACATTTCGGTAATTTTTGTGTGGGACACACTCAGTGCCGCACCATGCTAGTTCGTTCGCTGCCTCGTTGCCGTAAATGGCCCTATGTCCCGGGACCCATATTAGGGTAATTTCGTATTGATCAGAGATGTAGACCAGCTTTTTCCTACAGTTCTCCACTAGTTGAGATCTAACAGAGGTACAAGAGAGTGCCTTAATGGCCGTTTGGCCATCCCGAATATATTCGGACGAATATTTGGGGAAGGATTATAGCTGAATTTAAATGTAAAATATACTAAAATATGCGAGTTGCCGACGTTTTCAAAAGTTAGAATCAATTAAATACTTAATAAGTTAAATAAAATATTACTACTTACACCACCTGGTGCAAAATTTGACTCCATATTCGTAGTCAGCGGGCCCAAAAACCCGTTGATACCAAGACTAAAGTAAATCCATCAGTATTTGAAAAATTGTGTCTACCTTACCTACAGTCTTTCAATTCATTTACAAATGGCTTGCATTTATCATAGCCAGAATTGTGCTCTGTGAGTCTAGTCAAGACTTAGACAGCATTTCGTCTCCGCCTTCAGGCCAATCCGATGCATGTGAGACTGAGCGCAAATAGTTTCTACAGGTTAGGTGCCCTGTAATCAACTTAATGTTAGTTGTACTCAAAAGATTTGTTTTAACTCAAGTGAAAGTATTTCCAAAGAGCCAGCCTAGCCTGTCCAGTGGAGGCTCGCTTCGGCTCCCCAGTCATTACCGAGGTTGTAAGCCTTGGAGAAGATAAAGAAAGCACTGATTATGGTTTAGTTGTCTTAGCACATTATATTTAAAAACTTCGGGAAAGCAAATTGCGCTATACACTGGCAAATGCGCCAACCACACATTACACCCCTAGCTTTGACTGTTCCAGAGCCTCGCTATTTACGCAGATTGCTGGTAGTTTAAGACTAAATTAATTACTTTTTAAAAGCAGTATTTATGTATTTAGTCTTCGTTTCGGTTTCTCGATGCTCGTAATAATGTTATATTGCAAAATTCTCTTTATGGCAAATAAATAATACCTCTACACTTCTGCCAACCTTCACATCTATCATTATGACCTACCCACAATTTATATGCATTTAACCAATTAGTGGAAGTTACTATGTACATACAGAAGCATGTAAAATCATAATGTTGCACAAATACATATGCACACATGTACAAACATATGTATATGTATGCACATATTTACGTCTCCAATTGCATGCAACTAATTTACTTTTCCCATCATTTACTTTCAGTTGGCGAGTGCTAATGTTGGGTTTCTGCGTCATACTCCTGTACTCGACCGTTGCGGCGGCGTCTGTGGAGGCGACAACAATGGGCATTGCTACGGCGACAACAGCCACATATATGACGGCGATGTCTGAAATAACAACGTTGAAACCAAAAAACGGTAGGTACGAGTGTTCAGTTGGTGTTCAGTTACCAAAGGTAAGCAACATTATCCAGGTAAGCCAGTTGGCTTGTTGACAATGAGGCGCGTGTGTTCCGACCAGCTTGCTGCTTACAATATTTTGTTTTGTTTTTCGCTACACACTTGATTTACACAACTTATCAAAGAAACAAGAGAAATGTGTAGAAAAGAGTAATGACTTTAGATGAGGGAAAATGCACGGACGGAGTCACCTTCTTTTGCATTCTGGGAAGGGTGCTTAAACAAGTTTTAATGTTGTTATATGGTTTGAGTTATAACTAAAAATTATTAGTGCGAAAGTAACACTTTCTTAAACCTAGAGTACGCGGACTTGCCCTGTTACATATATACCCTTTTGGTCAGCTGATTATGTTAACCCTCACCGGTCCCCTCAAAAATTGTTCGAATTGGCACTGGGATGTGACACTTCTAATCAGATTTTTAGGATAAATTCCAAGTACCTGTTGGGCTGTTATATAGCCCATTTTCACTTTAGAAAATCGCGTTGTTTTTGCATTTTTTTTAGTAGAAGGTGTTGCTCATTTTCTCAATACAAAAAATAATTGCCGAACATACTTTGTATGTAAGAACCTGCATGAAAAAATTGCCAAAAATCAACCCAGATAATTTCGACAAATAGTTTTTTTTATTCAAATTCAAGTTTTGGGTTTTTCTTTTGTTTATTTAATGTTTATAGTTTTTTTATAAAAGTTTAGCACATAATACATACATAATACAGCAGCACCACATAAATTCACGTTTCAAACTTCGTACAAAAATTATAAAAATTAAACAAACTTTAACAATAACACCCAAAACTTGTAAACATTTTATTTAAAATTTTTAGAAAAATTCTAGGTATGCAGTTATATAGCCTACTAGCTTTTACCCGCGGTTTGTGGTTCCGAAATTATGGCTGATAAAAAATTCCAAGCCTATGTTAAGTGATACGCCCCCAAACAAATTCATTTATATATACCTTACTACAAGCGCATACCATAGATATGTCTGCATACAAAATTTCGAATTCATGTGACTTACGGTTCCGAAGTTAGTGCTGATTTAATAATTTACGCCTATGGGAGGTGCCACGCCCGCATTTCCAATACCGCCAATTATTCCCATGAATATGGAATTAATTTTATTTATCTCGACAGCAAGTTCCAATGCCCTACCACAAATATTTCAAGATATATACAACATGAAAATTTTAGTTAGTATAGCCCCTTTAGCAAAATAGTATTGTCGTTCATATATTGGAACCTATTTTCAATTTCATCGTAAGCGACAAAAGGCAAATTTTACAGGAAAGTGTTTCTTTAATTATCACTTAAACAAAGTAATACTTTCCTTTGTTTGGATACATGTAAGTGGACAACATCATTATTGAAGGCTAGATTTTTAATAGGACGATTCGATAGTTATGTTTAATGAGACCGAAGGAGTGCAGAGCAGGTCAAGTTAGGGAAGAATCGAGCAGCTGTCAAAAAACAAAACAATAGAGCAAGTTAGAGCAACTAAGATCAGAAATCTCATGAACCACGTTTCAAGCAGAAGTTCTCAAAACAGTTGCTTGCTCTAAGATACTCCTTCAAAGAAGCTGGTGCAGAAAATCGGGCTCTAAGTTGCTCTAGTTCCTCTTAGCGTAGGCTCATGAAACAAAAATTTGAGTAAGTTAGAGCAAGAAAAATCCGCATGAAACACAATTTTGTGAGATATCTTATTTACCCTGGCGTAACCTAGAGCAGCTCACTAAACACAACTATAAATTTGTTCGCTTTACGGTTGTTTGTAACAGCTTAAAGCAATCGAGATAGATGTAGATAATGTACACCAAAATGCTTAGAATGCATGTAGAAGACGATTAGGTCATGTCTGTCTGTCCGTGTGCACGTTGCGATAACACTGCAGTAATCAGGAAGGCGGAAGCTAAACGATATGCCTAACTGTTCCGAATAAACCCCACCACCAACTCTTTTGTCGAGATTATTGCAAAATTTTGGAAAATGGCAGTGGCACCATCTGCATATGTATGACTATATATGTATGTGTATCTCGGTAAACGATTTATCAACTTCTGCCAAATTGTGTACAGTTATTGCCTTCGGTACAAAAAAGCAGTATGTTGAAAGATTTTTAAATCCCAGCTTCCCATATGTATAGCGGTAAATTTCAGAAATACGAAAACTCCGATATTACAAAAACTAAGGACGCAATTTACTCCAAGTTAATAATTACACCAATCTCTTAACAAGCATCCTCATTATCTTCATAAATTGAAGAAAATGGGGCCGGTGTTGCCACAAGGATTTTTTTATTTTTCTACCAAATTTACCAGAAAAAATTATCAAATTCAACAAGAAATTACTAAGCATATTTTATGTGCAAAACTATACGTATGTATGTATATATATCCACACTCGTTCGCTATTAGATATCGTAAGATCAGATGCCAATTAGTTGAAATTCCACACCCAGGTTTTATGATTCAATCAATGCGCTATGCAACTATAATTTCTATGTCGGCGTGAGCGTCGAAAGCTACAACACCAGAAAAACTTGGTGTGGATTATAAGCTTAAGTGTGGACGAAGAACTTGTAGCCAAAAAGCTAACTTTAGGCTTCTGATCATTCAAAGTAAAAATTTCTCGTAGAGTCGATGTCTTTGGGTACCAAGATCGTCCGGCTTGGCCTCGTTGGACTTTTTTATGAGGCCAGGCCGTATTTAAGCGAATAAACTTGAAAAACAACATATCTCAAGTTTTGGCTAAGATGCCGCCCAGTATATATGCAAGCATATCAACAGATCAACTCTCGAAGGCTTCAAAGATTTTCTGAAGCTCCCCTAAGTTGGTCACAAATTTTCCGTTTTGTTCATTAATGAGTGGGTTTGATCTTTTCTGACAGTCAGGTAGCCCTGCAAGTTTAAGAATCTACTGAATGTCGTAGATCTTTGAACGAGAATACTAATCGTATTGGTGCCAGTACACCGAAATATAGAGGGTAATTGCAAAGTGATGAATTTGCAAGGATAGGTACGGCCACCCATAACCTGCGGGCACTTCGAGAATTACGTGGCCTTTCGGGCGCCAAATTTATGACTCGTCCGCGATGCTTGGATGGTTAAGGCCAACCCTGCTTAACTTATGTATTTATATCAAATTTGTAAGTACATACGTATCTACTTATGTATGTATGTATGTACATTTATCAGCGTCCTAAGTTTATAGTTTAATCAGTGGGGTTTTTTTGCTCCTTTTTTATTGTGTGTGCCGAGTGTTCTTGATAGCTTCTGAGAGGGCAATAAAATATATTTGTATACATTTTTTATTCATGCATCTTTCCGTACTTAAAAATAAAAACGGCACGCCAGCGTCTTCTTAATTTATTTTCTTTATTAATTTGCAATTTATGACGAAATGCAGTTGATAATGAAACTACGCTCGAGCACAAATTTTTAAGTAGTAAGTTCCTATGTATGTATGTCAATATGCAGTTACGAGTATCAGTGTTGCCAGAAAAAAATTTCGTTTGGAGCTAAATCGGTCGAAAAAAGAGCTAAATAATACTAGTAGTAGCTATGAAAAGCTAATTTTTTTTAAGTTGAGCATTTATTGACGTAATGTTGATTTTATACTTTCCTCAATAAAATAAAAATAACGAATTTTATTAATTTAAGTGCTGAAAAAAACCTTTTACAACGAAAATAAGGTGCATATATTTCGAACTTAATGCTACGGCACTTACATATATGTACGCATATACGTATATAAACTAGGCGATGAACTAAAAATACTTTACAGACTGTTAAAATCTGCAATTTCAGATATTTGAATTGATCATAAAAACTCGAGTTACTAATAATTTTTTTGCAAAATATTTTTGGAAAGTTTTATTTTTTTCTCTTCTTAAGGTTAAATTAGTAAGGTAAAAATTTTTGAATTCTTTAACATGGAACCAAGATGGTGGAGTTTGTAGTTTCCCATGAATGCAAATGTATGTTTTCCACTGCATTTCGAAATTTGTAATTTTATCAACGCTTAAGTTTTGACTTTCCTTTTCTGCCATGGCCGGCTGAGAGAGAATACACCGTCTGAGCTTATTGGAGCTCGAATTACTGCCCGGTATAGTTTGTGTGCTCTCGAGCACGTGGTAGAAACAAATCGACTTACTTGCCCATTTTCCATTTGCTTACGAGCCATTTGCATTAGGAATGGAACTTTTTACAACGCTTTTATCAACTTGCAATGTTGTGGATCCAGAAGCTTTCAATGTTGTGTGTCCGACACCAAAGCAAAGCTTTGAAAAGCTCCTATAAAAAAGCATAGTGAATAGGGCGACATCTGTAGTGAAGTAGTGCATAGGGCGATAGCTGTAGTGAATAGGGCGAGGTAGATGACATCTAGATGCCGCCCTATGTACTACGTTTGCTACAGCGGAAATAGACGACACGTCATTCTTTAAATAAAATTAATCGGTGCTCGTTTGTATGTACATACATATGTAAATGCATGTGTGTGCACCTTTCTATTAATATCGTTGAATTATTTTAATATCTATTGCAAAATTTTATTCAGACAGGACTAAAAAGTAGAAAATAAATAATATAAAAAAAACTTTTTAATATACAACGCTTTTATAAATGGACTAAAAAGTAGAAAATAATACTTCTCAGTCCCATAGAATTTGTTTTGATAACTTTTGATTTTGAAATTTTAGCAAAAGTCATTATAAACAATCTATGAAATTGAAAATGAAAAGCGTGGGGCGCATGTAATACACTTGAATTGATATGAAAAGTAATATATGAATGTATGTATGTGGGTATATGAATAACGACCGCTTAAAATCGATTTCAAAGTTCTACTTTCGCTGTAGAAATTTTAGGTCTACGTTATGTAGTTTGACTATTGTCAATTAAATCGAATGCTTTGTATTGCATGCGCTCCACGTTTTTCATTTTCAATTTCATAGATTGTTTATAATGACTTTTGCTAAAATTTCAAAATCAAAAGTTATCAAAACAAATTCTATGGGACTGAGAAGTATTATTTTCTACTTTTTAGTCCATTTATAAAAGCGTTGTATATTAAAAAGTTTTTTTTATATTATTTATTTAAGTATTAATCGAAGTAGAGTTACATGAAGCTATCGAAAATAGCCTGAGATCACCAAAGCCAAATGAATTTTAGTCAACACTTGTACAATGAAATTATAGATTTTTAATTTTAATATATTACCAAATACAACTAAAACTTTCTGAAGCTAAAAAGGTGCTAGATAATTTTGAAAAGAGCTAAAAAAATGCTAGGAGCTAAATCCTGATTTTCGGAGCTAGATAAAAAATCAAAGAGCTAAATCTAGCTCCAAAAGCACTAATATGGCAACACTGACAAGTATATGTGTAAAAATCTGAGAATAAATAAAAACATGACTTTGCTTTCGCCAAAACAGCGAAGTTAAATTACTAGGGGTATTCTCTGAGTCTTGCAAAGCCCTTGCACGGTGCACGGATTGCACGGTTTGCAAAGCTGTCTCATACGAAAACCGGTTTTAACCGTGCAATCCGTGCAATCTGTGCACCATGCAAGGGCTTTGCAAGACTCAGAGAATACCCCTACTGTTTCAAAAGAAGCCGTATAGATTTTGTATATACATATATACTTACTATGTGTACATGTAAATATATAGATATGTACGTATTAGGTGGAGTGTGCCAATGTGAACACATTAACACATTTGTATGCATTCAATTTTCTCGTAACGCCTATAATTCGAGTTTGTTGGTTTCATATTTCATTCTTTCGTTTAGCTGAGACACCTGCCACACTCAAAAGGTAAATACTTATTACATACCTGCATACATACATACATACATAGGCGTGGCTGTCTGTCCGTCCGTGCACACGATAACTCGATTAAAAATTGAGATATGTTAACGAAACTTAGAATGTGTACTAATTTTGAGCCAAGGACGGATGGTATTGAAAATGGGCAAAATCGGACAATAACCACGTTCAACTCCAATATAACGGTAGTTTTCAGAAATACCAAAACTGCGATATTTTAGCAACTACTGAAGCTTATTCACTCAAAATTGATATTTGCAATGATCTTTAGGCGGAAAATAATAATATTATAAATTTAAAATAAATAATAATAAATAAATTAACTTCGTCTTAACAGCACTGATAAAATGATTACTTATATTGACTAAATTTACTTCCTCAAATTAATGACGCACTATTTTTAGCATAAACCAATTTGTAATTTTAAAGAAAAAACAATAACTCTTAAATAAGGGAACTGGTTTCTTGTTTTAAGAAAATGTTTTTTTCTGAGTGTATATAACTTTTTCTAATTAAGTCTAACTGAACATACTATCGAGGATGTTTGAAAAAGGGGCAGGGGTGGTGCTTACCATGTAACGGTAATTTTCGGAAAGGTGAAAAAACTATATTAAATACGTGCGACGGGTATTTAATGTTCGGCTTCGCCCCAACTTAGACTTTTTAATTGTTATTTTTATATTTGCCCCGGTTGGTTTTTGAAAAAAAAATAAATAAATATACACCTCTAATCGACTTGGCTCAAATTCTACTTCGATTTCTTTCCTTTTAAATTCGGGTTCATGTCCATATATGAAGGCAGAGACTAAAAAAAAGCGGCCGTATTTCGGCAATAAAGACTAAGGACTGGCGATAATTGTTAACCAGACTTGGTGAAGACGATTCTAAGGGTCGTTTGTTCAATGTCCGATTAACACAAATCGGAGGTAGAAGCTCCACTGCTTTATCGATCACATGTTAAAGCATAAACAGACGGCAACGTTGATTCGGATCAACTCGGGAATTAACTGCAGTTGATCCGGATTAAGTCCGAGTTAATCCAGATCAACGCTGCCGTCTGTTTAAGCTTTTATACGCATGATGACGAAGTCGTCGATAATGATGTTTAACTGGGAAGTAGTGATAATCAGACATTGAAAAACCGGCCCTAAATGGTGAAACAATGGATCACAAATACGTAATTTTTACGCCTATTACAATTGTTTTTATCTCACCTAGAATAAAATATAATCATTTATAGACATCTCTTCATTGCTTTTTAACTTAGAGTGAACAGTTGGTAAGTCCACTTTTCGTGAAAACTCATATTTTGATATAGGAAGAAAGAGAAATTTAAAAAAATTTTTAATTTCCAAAAGGATTAAGGTATTGTTTCATTATTTTTATTCAATGAAAGCCAAATTCGTTAAGTCCAAAAGAGCTGGAAATCTTTTTGTTGAGATCGAATCCTTCTGTAATTTTTGGAGTTTTGGTTTACTTTAAGCACGCAAAATTTTGTATTCCAAGTTTTGCCAAATACTTGAAGAAAATTACTATAATAAGATTTTCCTCTAGATTTTTATAAAAATGGACTTAGCAACTTTGTACATACATACATACTAGATACTTACACACTTTTGCATCTCTTCTCTATGTAGTAATGCTTAAATGATTAACGCAAACCCATAAATTCGGCTTTACATGAAATAATAATTGTTAAAAAAAAAAATAAAAAAATTCTTCAAAAGCAAATATACATACATACATATGAAATTCGCATTGTATGAGCGCGCGCTTCTGAGATTGCCCATATATACACAAATTTGCTTGTAATGTCTTTATCAGGTTTCATGAATTGCAGTTCGCACAGAATTGAAAGGCACCAGTTCTAATAACTGTCCAGCAAAATGTTACGGAATAGCAAATTACAGATTTCGTAAGCGGCTTTTTTCGTAGAAATAGAATTCCATTTACCCTAAAAAATATGTATTTCGTAGACTCTTATTTATTAGTACTTTTTTAATTGAAAAAGTGAAAAAACGGACTAGAATTTGTTCAACTGCGAATGATAACTTTGTCGTCGGAGCTTGTAAAATAGTGAAATATGTAAATTGTTTTAAATACTTAGATAAATAACTACACCATTTCCTGTTGTAAATGAGAAAGCGTCAATTGTAAATGAGAAAGCCTCAATTGAAAATAAGAATAGTCAATTGTAAATGAGATTATTGAAATGTAAATGAGAAATCGTCAAATGAAAATGCAAAAGCGTCACTGAACTGATGAACTGATTGAATCTGTTTAAATCATTCCTTCGACACTGTCAATAACTATGTAACGCGTTTAAGGTCAGACAATCGATCCACAGGGGGGTTCATTCAAAAACGAAACATGTGGTGCATGGATAGCCTCAGTTTTGCATCGTTGGCAGGAGCAGGGAAACCACCTGGACGACTTAGTTTTGGTAACCACCTGGACGACTTAGTTTTGGTATGCGATAATGCTCCATGTCAAACTCCAGAATTGAGATTGCTGTGGCTGATGCTTCCAATGGGCTAGAACAAGTGCTACGTTCACCGCCATATTGCCCCATGCTAAACCCCATTGAAATAATTTGGTGTAAAGTAAAAATGTATGTGAAGGGGCACATCTCAAACCCAAAATTGTAAATGAGCCAAATGTTGTTGGGGATTATTTCTATGGGAAAAAGAAACACTTAATGCGCGATCTCATAGAATTATCGTAGAGAGGGGAGATTCATGGAGGATAATTTCTATACCAAATACTAAAATCTGTGTTGAATACCGGTCGCATTGCAGGGATTTTAATTTTTTTTACGCGGTCTAATATACATACATACATATATACACACATATCTTGCGTATAAGTTAAATAAATTCGATTTTCAAACAGGAGGCAAGCCTTTTCATAAGTATATTTAAACTTAAATCTTCTTAAATCTCTTTAATTTTACATTAGGGTACAAATTTCAATGAACTGATTATTTAAGTTTTCAAATACGTGGAAATCCCTCTAAATTTAGTTCGCAAATAAAGCCTTCTATTTATTAATAATTCATTTAACTTATTAAAGAATTTGGGGCATATTCATAGTCAAAATAAAGTCAACTCAAAAGTTAGTGGCAGTTGATAATGAAATGTTCGTGAAAAGAGCTGCAACTAAGTTAACCCTCTGCTACTGACATGACCGAAGTTTCCCTATTATACTGACGTGTAGTCTTTCTGACACCAATTTTCCAGATTAAAATATATATACTAGATATTTATTAATAAACTTTCTTTCGACTTAAACTGGAAATTCCATAAATATTTTAAGTACTGATTATTTACTTTATGTTGAAAAATAGGCGTTTCTAGTAATCAACGTTATTGAAGCTAGGGAAAAATGTCGAACCTTCGGTGTCTGTCAGACTATCACGTCAATCGCAGAGGGTTAAGAGTCAACTTTGTTTTGGTAACGTCATCAGATCTGCACCGGTCGTTCAATTTCAAAAAAAAGGTTTCATATTAAATTAAAAGAGCAGTAAGAAATTTTTAGTTTGAACATTTAAAATTTTTTTCGAGGTATTTGGAGAGTTTTGCCACAGGTTTCTAAAGTATAATTCAAAGGAGTATAATCCTAGTCGAAATAAAGTCGACTCTGAAGATAATAGATTTGTGCTTACACAATATGTTATTTAGTGTTTGGCCGAGGTTCTCTTCCGGTTAGTGGCGTGCGCCTTGGTGGAGGGGCGAGAGGCACTTCTAACCACTACACCACAGCGGCCACCACAAACACACATTGAATGTTTAGAAAATGAAGAGGTTGTTTCAGAGGGGTTCCGTATTTATGATCGACCCATTGAGTTTGTGTCCAACAACCGATGTAATATGATTTATATTTGTTTATTTATGTTTTCCTTAAAAATCAACTAATGTATATACACATGTATTTACATATTTCTGTCTTGCTTTCAGATGTCATAAGGCGTAGTATAAGAGTGGGCAAATATGGTAATGCCACTATATTGTGTAAGACTTCGAATCGTTCACAAACTTACTTTTATGATGCGTCTATCGAAAAGTTCGTGTTTCCGTTCGACATCGAAAATGAGGTTAGTTGGTTATACAGAAGTACATAGTACATGCATATATACATTCATATGTATATATTTACGTATATATGTACATTAGGGTAGTCCTTAAAAAATCAAATTAACGATTTTTCAGTCTCACCCCCTCAATCGGTAATACCACGGTCAAAGATATCACATATAAATTTAGGTCCCGACTGGAGACGGTTAATATGTCTTCATAGGGTAATCTGAACTTTGACTACTGTGTGGCACGCTTTAATCGACTTCAATCGGGACAAACATTTATATATGTGATATCTTCGACCATAGTAGAATCGACGTAGGTGTTGAAGATTAGGAGATATGATGTAAAAATTTGCTTCCTACATTTAAGAACCACCCTAATGTACATATGTGCTTCATGAATGCACTTTCCTAAATTGTAAATTTTTTTCAGCTTCTAAGTAACTATGCCGTGTTAGTTTTGAATGGAGTTCATCAACCGTCAACCTACCTGTGCTTTCAAAATGGAACTCTTTTAAGTGAAACGATTTTGACAATTGGTAAGTGTTTGGGGCTGTTATTCATTTTAAATTTAATACATATCACACACCATCTTCAAAGGGGGCACAATTCAAAATTCAGATCAGAAAATATAACTGCTTGCGGAATGTATAGATTCAGCTACTCGATTCAAGCGTCACATAGTGCGAAAAATTACACAATTCATGTAATATATCGAGAACGAAAAAAATTCAGAAAATTTGATTTGAAGGAAGATTTTAAGGTTAACTTAATTCTAAAATTGCCTCCAAAATTAAAATTTTTAGTTACTTATTTTTTACTTAAAAATAGGATGCACTGCACCTTAAATTATACAACTATAGTGCGTTTTTCGGTTTCTTGACGCATTCCATACTGTTCTCAGGTGAAAAAAGAAAAAAAGTTTTACCTAATTTTTAAGGTAATTTTAAGGGTGTTCTCGTTCTCGTTCTCGAGATATTAGATTTTATCACAAAAAAATTTAGTTTTCCACACCGTGCGCCACCTGGCCATACATTTTTTTTTCATAAAAGCCTTGTCCTTATACCTGCAAATACATAAATGTAATTTCTTGCACAGAAACTTAAAAATCTAAAAAGCTTTTTGTGAGATTTACTTTCTCCACTATGTAACTTCCCCCATACAATTTTATGGCACTTTGCCCACCTGGGTCCAAGTCTACGCGATTCTCCACGCCTCATGATAATATTGGTGTGGAACGGGTTTGTTATACATACATACGTCTCTAACTTTGGCGGATGGAAAATTTTACACAAGTAGAGCGATTTTTTTGTACCCGCGGATCCGCCACTGTAAGTACTCATTGATTTTACTTTATGTACGTAATAGAACTTGTAAACAAAGTGATGCCTTGACAAGTCGGGGTACAGGGTCATCACATGCTTTATACTATTTCCTATCTTATCTACACGCTTATATGCTTATGTAAATGAATTTACGATTTTTACTATTAATTTATTATTTGTATTTATTATAAAACAAAGTAATGTCAACTAAATATATATAAATCTACATGAATTTCCGATTTGAATATACTATTTTTTATTAACTATTTAGCTATGGATTACTTGTTTAAAATTTGTATTCATCGTAATTTTTAATTGGGTCAAATTATGGCGCATCTCATTCACATAATCCATGTTCCAATGAAATTTTAATTTTACGCCTAACTATTATGAAAGAAGAGCTTACAATACTTTTTAATGATTTGGCAGTTTTACATACATATATATGTATGCATGTTTCTCACTTGCTTCGTAAATCGAACTTTACTCATTCTAACGTTTTTCGTTTTCTCTTTCTTGTGAACTTGCGCCTTTTATTTCTAAAAAGAACGGACAGATCCCAAGTTTAGCTTACTACTTCACCTGAGTATTGGTGCCCAAAAAGTTGTTTCTCTAAATATTGTCCTTAACCTAGTAGGCACAATACACCTTCGGCTTCCGTAATAAATCCTAAGGGGCCTTGACAGTCGAGTTCCTTTCTCTAAAGGATGTTGTAGCATTGGTGGTTTGAATAAATAAATCTCTGTGACAGTCACAAAGAATGTGTTCCGAATATTCCTCGTCCTCAATGCAGAGCCGGCATACCGACTCTCCGATAACACCTATACGATGCATATGAAATCGTTGTTGGTTGTGGCCCGTTAGATATCCGGTAGCCTGATGTCAATTCTATATAGTTAAACAACATCCAATATATTGAAAGGTTATCCTAAGAGCTTGGCTGACTCCCAGTACTTACTGCGTTCAGAGTGTAACCACTCTCAGTGATTATGCAGCACAGAATAGTTCGGGTCCTAAGAAGGCAGTTAAAGACTCTCGCGCCAACTCATCATCGACCTCGCTCTTTTTATTTCACAGAGACCTATAATTACGCTGCCTTTATGACAGAATTAGACTGGACGTTTGAAATTGTCCACCGAGGGACGACTACTATTACAGTAAAACTATTTGAATTTGACTAAATATATATCTAATACGTTTTAAGGAGGTTCGAAAATGGCCAAGAAATGCCAGACTTAAGGTTTAAATACCTTGGTTCTCACTTCTTTTTCACCCCCGAAGAGCTTCAGAAACCGATTTGAGCCGCTTTCGGAGTTTTGTTGTAAGAATGCAACGTTTTTCTAAAAAAGCACCCTCTTAGGTGTTACCGTTACCGTTAACCCACCCATTTTTCTTTGTATCATCTCTTGCTCTTTTAGGCAAAGGACAGTTAATTTACAAGTCTAAGTGCGTCTTCACACTGAAAGTCCGCAATGGAATGATATTCATGGTTTGATAATTTTTTTCTCAAAGTAATATTTCTTTAAACGAGATATTTCCTAAACTTGGGGCGTATGGAATGGAAGTCCCCCGCTTACACATATGACCAAGCTATTATTTCTAGTCATCGTGAGTTCATTGTTGTTGTTTCTGTAACAGATATGTTTCTATGTACTTTTTCAATTGGTGAAGTCCAAAATAGTAGGATAGCAGTATTTGAATAGTTTGTTATACAGATTTTTATATTCCCTTTTAAAAGATGGTTTAGATTTCTTAATAATATGTATGTATCTAAATCTTGACGTAATTTTTAATAATAGATATTTATATTATTTTATTTAGATAGTGTAATACAGACGGTTGTTATCGAAATGGGAAAGGGCGATGATGCCGCGCTTACATGTAAACATGATGAAGACCAACCAGTCTATTTTCAAAAAGACCTCGGCAAGGAGAACATCAGAACTGATATTGTGGTGAGTAGATATCTATGTAAGTTTAACACTCCCAATTCTCACGAATGTAATGGCCACTTGACTGATTGTACAGCTAAACTGCAATGCCAAGACAAGTTAACGCAGACAATTGCAACATATATACATATGTATGTTCATTACAACTGATTTATCAACGATTGCTGTTGGCACAATGTCAACATTGAAAACAAAAACACCAAAGATAAGCAGTGAAAATCTCCATAAAGTGTGTCTGCGTTATTGCTGGGGCAGCAGAGACGCGCCTATGCCTACGAAGCACACGATATTGGCTATGCAAGTGTATAAGAAATTTTACACTGCCCAGCTAAGCAACGGGCATTGAACGTCCTCTGTTATATTTGTTGCATACAAGTTGCGACTAGCTTATACCATTGACAGACGACAGCCTTGATGCGCATTATGGAACTTACAAAAGCGAGTTAGCTTTTTACATTGCATTTCCATGGCAGACATTCACGGAAATGAAAAAATCAAAATGTTATTTTTAAGTTAGTAAGTAGGACTAATGTATGAAAATATGTCCAAACACTACTCACTACCCTTAACAAAGCTAGACTTAAATAAAAGCAGTGCCACCGAATTAAAAAAAAAAAATTGCGAAAACAAAAATTCTTGCTGTAACGCTTGTGGCGGTACATAATTCCATTTATTTTCATGTCTCTCTAAATTTTCTTGTATGTTTTTCCCCCCATTTAATTCCTAATAATATCCCAAAATCCATAAATTATTTTTTTAGATCTTTCGCATAAATTTTGCATTGAGGAAAGGAAAGGCGTTGAATGCCTTGTACTGCTGTAGGGAAGGTATTGTTAACAAGTGAAGTCTCTCAAAGTAATTCATTAGATCTATGAAACCAACTCTTGTCTGGTGGTAGTTGGTTGGTAAACTTCACGGACGGATCAAAACTTGGAGACAGGATTGGTGGAGGTGTATTTTGCCAGAAACTATCCACCAAAACTATGTTTTGGACTTCTGATGTGTCTTTCGGGTGCCATCAAGCAAACGGTAGACTCACTGCTCAATCGCGTCGGATTACTTCTTAATAAGGCTAGTTTAGGTGCCGGGTCACACAGTGACATCGTGGAAACTTCATGGCTGATGACCTGGCAACTAGGGACGTCTCTGTCCTTTTACACTCTTGAATGATTGGGCCCAGCGTTAGCTTGGCCCTAAAATTTCAAAGTCCTTTTAAAAAACATTCCCAAATGTGTGCAGTGTTGTCAACTTTAAATTTGTAAATTGCACGCAAATTGTATGCAGATAATTCATGAGTAAATGCACATTAGGGCTGCTTATATGCTTATGTGCATCAACGCTGACGTCTGTCTAGATTTTTGTGCACTGTCCACCTTCTACTCAAGTAGACATTACATATATTCGTAGATAAATAAATGCGATATTCTGAGTATTGTTTGCGAATCAAGTCAACAATACACTGACCATAAGCGGTGCTGTGTCAAGTACAAAATAAAAAAAGTACAACAAACATACCGTCAAGCATTAGAGTGCACTGAGTGTCATGAAAATATTGCCAGTATCTACCAGTAAATTGTACGCTAAATAAATTTTTTTTGGAATTTCGTGAAGTAAATTTAACAACAAATACTACTAGATATTACAATAGCTAATTGAGTTTATAAACCATGTGGTGAAATTAAAAACTTTTAAAAATAACCAAAAAACATGGTTTGCATGTACCACTTTTCGACTTTAGACCAGCTTTTTTGGAAAATTGGCCACATTGCGTTGTAAAGTTATTTTTAAAACATATTTTTCGTATTGTTCACAATCAATCTCTATAAAGCAATTGCTTTATTTTCACCACTTAAAAAAAAAAAAAAATTTTTTAAGAAAAAAGTAGGTATCTATTCAAGTGAAGCGGGGTGTGTATGCGCACACATGTATGTTGTACGTTAGTCAATATGTTTGTACTATGAGCTACTAACAAGAAAAAATTTAGTTTACAAGAATTGTAATCGCTTTATTTTTGCTTCTTTGTGGCACTTGTGAAATCCGCAAGGAATTCAAAGTTTATACGTAACACTGGAGATTCTCACGTTCTCGAAATACATTTTATACGGCTTCATTTGTTACTATATTTCTGATTGGTTTTTCGCGAGAATTTGTTGTCGCCGATGTTGTTGCATTTGCATACACACGTGTCTCTTTGATTGATTTAATTAAGATTCGTTGCGAATTGTTTGTGCGAAATTTTCACACAAGTGCCCCCAATTGGTAGGGCTATGCATGTTAGGCTACTTAATTATGTTCGCACGTTTGGAAAATTACATTTTCCTCACAACTACGCACACATGCGTATGTAAGTATATATAAGTAAATACATACTTATATTTATGTAGGTAAGTGTAAGCCTATGGCAGATACTTTTCTTTGTATTTCTGTATTTTATTTCTTACACCGTAGTCACGTGTATACTTGTAGTACATACATAGATAGTGCATACACATATGTATGTATGTATTTATGCGCCAATCACAGAATCTACAATGAAGGTACATCGTTTTCAAGCGAACTCTCAGCTTCTTGTAATTCATTTATGCAAAATTACCAGGGACCGAGAACAAAAGGTACACATGATCGAAATTAAGTGTCGTTCTTGTGGTTTTGTTTCCAAGAACGCTTAAAAACCCAAATCGAAATTAGAACAAGACCTTCGAGTACATGCTCAACGGTAATTATGTAAGAAAAGACTCCGGGGGACCGTTCTCTAAGCGAACAAAATGGGACCAAAGGTCTCCGAACAAAACGGGAATAAAAGTCTAAAAAACTTTCTCTTGAAGAACAAATTGGGAATCAAAGTCTCAAGAACATTTTGACATTGAACGAAACAGGAACAAATCTTCTCTGAACTATTCTACCGAAGAATGGAAACGAGAACAACATTTTTCTCATAGTGCTGCATTGATTTGAAATGTTTGAAAATTAAAATTAATCAAACAAGAACTGCAAGATTATTCTACAAATTAAGTAAACGAAAGACTTAAGACACGAACTTTTCTTTTACAGAAAATTAAAAATTGTTTCGTAAATGAACAGTTCACCCTAATTATAAACGATCTGGAAGTTGAAATCAAGCTTACCTCTGGCTTAGAATTAACAATCACGGCTTCCACTGAAAAAAATTTTTCATCCTAATACGCCGATGCCCCTCTCGTTTTTAACGTCAAGTTCTCAAAACTTTGATTCTGGTTTTTTGTTTTCAAGCAGAACGTACCTAGACGTTTGTTCTTATCTGATCCTCCTTGAAAACGTTTTCGACACTTTCGTAGGCATTTCATTTTCTTTGGAAACGTTTCAGAAAGTTTTATTATCATTCTGTTCTTCTTGAGAACGTTCCCAAAAGTTTTGTACGCTTTTTGTTCTTTATGGAACCGTTTCCGAAACTTTTGTGCTCATTTTGCTTCCGTTCAAACTGCTCTCAGTACTTTTCTTCCCGCTTGGTTTATTTTGTTGGAATGTTCTTGACACTAAATTAACCGTCTAAATTGATGTAGTGAATGCACTGCCGCCGACGAGGCCAGGATTGTCACTCCAGCAACACTCCCCAAAAACTCTTGGGGAATTTGTATGCTGTTACAACAACAACAGGTATATGCCGACGCTACTTTTGAATGTTTTCTGTATTCTAAGTTTTCTGCGTTTTGGACAGTGTTGTCATCGAAAATGTCCCTGTTTCGCATTAAGTTTGAAAATTAACTCTATGACTTGATCCGAAACTTAATTCCCGAGATAATACTGAAATAGCGAGTTGATCCGGATCAACGCTGCCGTCTGTCTATGCCTTTAGTGATTTTTTGAACGTTGATGTAATTTATTTACAACCATATGTATTTACTTATATATTTTTATATTTTCAGTCAATTAATAGGACAACGAGTATCCTTTTGATTAAAAACGCATCTTTACAAAAAACGAAATATAGTTGTACATATTTGGACAATAAGCACATAGATGAATCGGAATTGAACGTGGGTGAGTAGAAGTTTGCATTGAATACGTAAATGTTCATATGTGATATATAAGTATCATAAAATCTTTTAATTTAAGATTTCATAAGGCAACTCATGAAAAATAAGCTCTTAATTTAGCCCATAAATGCATATCGCCCGCGTTAAAGGACGAGACTGGGTCTCCTTCAGTAAGGAATTAATCTTTTGATCCCAATCGTAATTAAAGTCTATAGGACCTGTTCCTGCTGACTGCTAAGAAGGGTGTAATACCAATCGTCAATCTAAATATGTGGACCACGGTTGCAGGTGACTAGCTTAGGGTTACGTCTAACATGGCTGCATTAGGTTGAGGCTCTAAAATGCCTGCTCTACTGAGTTAGAGAAAATCTTACCCACCCTTTTTCAGTATGATGGCTTTCCACTAGGCATGGGTAACACTGCGCTGCGCGGCGCAATTGCGTTAACACC